GCGGATTTTTTTTTTTGGGGGGGGGGGGGAGTCAAGGGGGGAGGGGGTGAGGATTGGGGGAAGAAGGCGGACGTCCCTTCTCAGGGAATCGATCCCTACACCACTCAAAAGGTCCACCCATTGGTATTATTTTACGACATCCATTTTCGGTCGACCAACCGGCCCTTTTCCAGTTCCCCCCCTTCAAATTCAATTTTGAAAAGTCTATTTAACGTCGTCATAATGCAATGAAATTTGGCGTGGTGAACAAATCGACAATTCTGAACAGATTTGTTCTTCATACTTTACAGCGTAACATCACGCATTTAGCCGTAATAACACGTAAAACAAACATAAAACTCGGTATTTTGAAAGGGGGGCGGGAAACTGGAAAAGAGCCGACCGACCCTCAAGTCTCGGTCGCCTATGTATACTAACTTTGAGAGGGAGCGCGCGCCAAAAAAACGCATTGTTCGCTAAAAACTTCCCAAAAAAATTTTTTGCTTTGTGCAGCTAATGGCTTGAAACGGCTTTGTTCCCCTCTTTTTAAAAAAAATTTGCCAGCTGTGTTCAGGAGAGCTCAAAAAATTCACCCCTCGCAATCACAATATTCTAAATTAAATTTTTTTCTATTGTTTTGGTTTTCCTTCAGCCACTTCTTTTTTTCATCTTTTGCTACAAATGGCTACTGTTAACAAGGATGGTCGGTTCATGTGCAATGAGCACAGAATGTTCCGACCATAGTCTTTAAAAAAACTAAAGACAAAACTTTTTTCAAGTTAGTTTTTCTGAGTGGGGTGATAAAAAAGTCACTATAGTTTGAGAGTATTGACCATCATAGTAATACAGACAAATAGGACGCAAACATTTTTTTAAGAAAATTGGCTAGAAAAACAAAAATAAAAAAACAAAAAGATATTAAAAAAAAATTTTCAAACTTTTTTGCAGAAAATTTTCCGAAAATTTTAAGGTCTTAATATTCAAATTGCTCCTAATTAAACTCTTGTAAATCTTCTCGCTTGCAAATTCTAAACAATGGGAAAATATTATCAAATTTCTTTAGGATTGTTCAAATCGCGGTTAAAAGGGCTTTAAAATGATATATCACTCAACTCAGTGCAATGATTATTTGTGGTAGCCGATTTTGCGTGAGAAAAAAAACTAAAACACACCCGAATACAAAGTGCCTCCCTAATTTCAATCGTTGGAACAATAACAGCCAAATTAATTAGACATCAGCGATTGAAAACAAATTTGAATCATTATTCTTAAATATGCTATAAGGCTCTTTTCCACTTTCCCATCAGATTTGTTTCAAGCTTGAAAAACTATTTAAACGTTCAATTACGTTTAAGTAGTAAATTAAAAAAAAAACATTTTCGCGCATTTTTAGTGCATGTTCAAGGTTTAAAACCTAAATAAAACATACATATTGATCAAAAATCAAAAAAGTGTTATTTATAAAGGTAGGGAGGAAGGGAGTGGGGGTCCCTCATAAAGGATCTGATCCGTACGTCACTCCAATAGTCTACGACATTCATTGTCGGCCGAACCAAACTGAAATATTGGTGGCCAATTTCGGCTCTTTTCCAGTTTACCACCCCCCTTGTTAAATTACAAAACAAAGATGTTCAATGATTGTTCACGCGGCAATTTGCATGTTAGAAATGTTCTAGAAATGTGGGCTCTTTTCCAGTTCCCCCCCCTTTCAAAATCAATTTTGAAAAGCTTATATAACATTGTCATATTGCAATGAAATTTGGCGTGGTGAACAAATCGACGATTGTGAACAAATTTGTTCTTCATACTGTACAGCGTAACATCACGCATTTAGCTGTAATAACACATAAAACAAACATAAAACTCGGTATTTTGAAAGGGGGGGAAACTGGAAAAGAGCCGAAATGTGTTCACCTGTTCATGCTGACACGTTTTATTGCAGTTTCTAAAATGAAAAGTCTTTTTAAATAGACTTTCATATAATGACTTTTAGAAAGAATCAAAGGTGGGGGGGAACTGGAAAAGAGCCTCAATTTCTACTTATTTTTAGAGGACGCACGGTCCAAAAAACAACACACTTTTGGTCAAAAACCTTCCGACAAAGTGTAGTTTTGTGCGGTTTTGAGCGGCTAACGCCCAGAAATGGCTTGGTTCCCCTGTGCTATCAAAATTTGAACATCGTTTTACCGTTGTCATAATCAACTGAAAAATGGCATACTCTGCATAATCTACATTGTGTTATAACACATTTAGCCCTAATTGCACGTACAACAACAAAAAAATTGAAAATTCGAAGTAGGGGAGGGGGTTGAAAAAAAACTTTTTAAGGGAATAGGGAACGGTAATTGCAGTAAAAGCTAAGAAGCTCTAAGTATCAGTTCAAAGTCCCTACTTCCCCCAATTCATGTGTCTAATAAGTATATTTGGCTCTTTCTACTTTTCCCCCCACCTGCAAATTTTTACATGTAAATTTGTTGACCACATTGTCCGATTGTTATGAAAATTTACATGCAGACTAATAAGGCCTCGACAAACAAGTTTGATCATCATACTCAACCTCGTAAAACCATTCGTTACACTAATTAGTTGAAGCTGGTGTGAGGTGGGGGGAAACGGAAAAAGAGCCGTTAATTTTGGGAAAAAACATTAATTTTTTAATAGAATTTTTTCACGATTTTTTTTCCACGCACGACAGCGCTGATTTGAATTATCCGGACTAAAAGAACAAAACTTGAATTTTCAAACGCGGTTTTTTTTTCAAATTGGATTAAAAAAAGACAAAAAGTCAACAGAACAAAAAATTTTTAGAATTTCACCAGAATTAATATGGGGCCTTTTTTTTCCAAAATTCTCAACCAAAACTTTACCCCAAAAATTGGTCGTTTTGGCTTTTTTCAATTAGTCAAAAACCACGCTGAAACTGCTTTGTTAATTGATGAAAAAATTATATCACAAGAAGCTTCTTATGCAGCTCAACAAAGTTTAAGAAGGGTTAAATCTCCAAAAACCAGTATAAGAGAAAAAATTTTCACTTGATAGTCAGTAAATGTGATTTTCACTATATAAAACGCAGATTCTCTGTTTAAAAATAAATTTTAAACAATTTGTCCAAATTTTTTGGAGATTTAACCCTTCTTAAACTTTGTTGAGCTGCGTAAGAGGCTTCTTGTGATATAATTTTCCCATCAATTAACAAAGTAGTCTCAGTGTAGTTTTGGATTAATTGAAAAAAGCTAAAATGACCCATTTTAAAGGTGAAATTTTGGCTGAGAATTTTGGAGGAAAAATGGCCCAATATTATTTCTGGTGAAATTCTAAACAAATTTTGTTCTCTTCACTTTTTGTCTATTTTTAATCCAATTTGAGAAAAACGCGTTTGAAAATTTAAGTTTTGTTCGTTTTGTCCGGATAATTTAAATCAGCACTGTAGCTGACGAACAAATTAGATGATGTGAACTCTCCCCTCCCCCAATCGATTTCACTTGCTTGTTTTGCTTTTTCACAAATTGAACGATGCGAATTCACAACCAATCAGAATGCAGTATTTTTCGAGAGGAAGAAAATTAATTAATTTGTCTAAATCTATGCTCACTTATACTTTGCTGACTTAAATTATCTGGACAAAACGCATTGAACCTGGAATATAAAACACGTTTTATCAAATTGGGTTGATTTTAGTTTAAGAGTGATGAAGAAGAAGCATGCTTAGAGCTATAGCTGAATTAATATACAATGGGCAGTTTGTTTGGCAAAGTTTGGGCCCAAAGGTTTACCCCAAAATTGGATCTTTTTTGGTTTTTAGTCAGTCAAAAAATACACCAGGACTATCGAGTCAATCACCAACATAAATCTATCAAAGTGAACATCTTACATAGTCCAGCAAATTTTAATGAGGGTATACTTTCCAAAAATTGGGCAAATTGTTTAAAAATTGTTTTTAAATATAAATGGATGTTTTATTAAGCAAAAACCCCTTCTAAAATTTTGTTGGGCTACGTAAGAGGCGCTCACTTTGATATAATTATGTTAGTGACTGATTTGGTAGTTCTGGTGTAATTTTGAATGACTGAAAACATTTTAAAAACTATTCATTTTCGGAGTAAAATTTTAGGCCCGAATTTGCCACACAAGTTGCACTATAAATTTTCTGGGCTCTTTCCTTCCCCCCCCCCCACCTCACACGAGCTTCAATATATTATTGTAACGAGAGGTTTTACGAGATTGATTATGAAGACCAAATATGTTTGTCGTGCCCTTATTAGCCTGTATGTAAATTTTTATAATAATCGGACAATGTAGTCAACAAATTTACATGTAAAAATTTGCAGGTTGGGGGAAAAGGAAAAAGAGCCATTTTCTGTTTAAATTTTAAGAAAGTTTGTCTTCCTTACTTTTAACCTAAAGCCAACCCAATTTGCGAAACTGGCTCTTTTTCCTTTTCCCCCCCACCTGCAATTTTTTTTAAGTAAAGTTACTGTTCACCTTGTCCAATTGTCATGAAAATTTACATGCAGACTAATTAGGCCATGGCAAACATATTTGTTCTTCATAATTAACCTTGTAAAACCACTCGTTAGACCTAAAAATTGATGGTCGTGTGAGGTGGGGGGGAAAAGGAAAAAGAGCCGCGAAACTATATCAAGCCATATCTAGCTTATCATCTTTTATTGAAAACAAGTTTTGGCTTTTTTCGACTCCAACTTCCCAGCTTTCAGTTTCATTAAAAAAAAATAGTTTATTGTCATAATGCAATGAAAATGGGCATGGTGCTAGAAAAAAGTGTTAAAACTAAAGTGTTAGAAGAGCTAAAAAAGAATCGATTTGGCCTAACTAAAAAAGACTGAACTTTTGAATAATATGCCTGTCACACAGGAGACACAAAAGTCGACCCCATCCTATATAGCTGAACAGTTTGTATGACTATTGTTCTTCTCGTAAGGACTCAAACCCTCGTTAGAATGTTCTTTTTTTCAGGACTCAAATTGATCGAACTGCTTTCCTGTTCTGCATTGCGCGGCGTTATGGAAGATACCTTCCCGAACACTTCATCCAGCGAAGAGATCAGTCACGTTAGCTTCGACGCCAAATCATTCGCAGTGCGCATCAAGGAGAACCAGCTTACTCTCAGCAGGTACATGTTCTGGCTATCAATAACCCCTCTCCGAATTCGACACATTGTTAACCAGATAATTTAAGGGTAACCCCGTTGAATTTTATTATAACTTGTTTCAAAAATTAATTCAGGGTATTAACAATTTTAGGATATTAATCTTTGGTCGCTGCACTCCTTTTCAAATTTTTGTTGAAGGCTTTTGCTTTTAATAAGTGGAGTGGATTTTTCTTTAAAAAATGAAAAAAAATAGTAGTTACCAAGATCACTAAAAACTACTAAAAAACTAGACCAGACCCTAGGCAGTTTTTAATAATGTTTCCTAGTCGGATTCTGGAAAAAGTTTTTGAATGTTAATTTCATTGCTAATAAAACTGCCCCATAAGAAAATCTTTGGGCAAATTCAGCTTAAACCTCGGCAATCCCATATAGCCCAACTCGCAGATGCCTGAAATCAGGCCAGATGATAGTCTGGTGCTCTCTCAGGTGTGCTTTTGTAAAATATGTTCTTATTTTTAAATTAGTTTGTGTGATAAGCTCAGTTGGAAACAATTTATGATTATCAGCGTAGTATTTTCCCCTCATTCAGGGCTCGCGAGGACTACAAGCACGAGAGGAACTGTTGTGACGTCACAATCCGTCTGCCTCGAGTGCAGCAGCAGCAGGCGGGGGGATCGGGAGTCGGGGGAGGGGGCGAGTGCACTGTGAAGGCACACTCTGTGATACTTGCAGCCTACAGTAACTACTTCCATGGTGCATTCACTTGTCCACTAGTCGAGAAACAGACCAAGGTTGTTAAAAGTTTCATGCATCATCGAGGATTTTTTAAAAGTGCGCTTGCTTAATGCTAGCTCAATGAAATGGAAATTATGAATTTGATTGAAAGAACAATTTAAAGATTTTTATTGATGAAAATAATTACATATTAAAAGTCAAACTGAGGAGAAAGCATCGGTCTCAGTGATGGACTTTCCCAATTTTCCACTCAACTGTTATAAATCATAGCCTCATTTGATTCAATTTACGCAATTAAAACTTAATATAAATAACTATTAACTTAAATCATCTATTCTAGTTCTTCACCTTTAGGTGGTCACTCTCTCTCACCAATGGAACGAGGCAGACCTCCTCACCATCCTCGACATGATCTACGGGGGATCCTTCGAACTGAACCAGGACAACGTGTTTGACGTACTCTATCTCGCCGACTACCTCTTAGTCGAACACGTGACCGCAATATGTCTGGAGTACATCAAATCACACTTGACAATTGAACAGGCCTTGGAACTCTGGAAGGTCGCGAAGAGATCAGCAAACGCTCCTCTGATCAAAATAGCAAAGGAGTTTTCGTTGCGAAAGTTCTCAAAACTGGTTAAGAACAGAAACTCAGGACTCTATGACCTGAATAGCAAACAGCTGCTCAGCATTATTCGCCAAGATGACCTCAAGATTAGAAATGAGAGAACAATTCTAGACTGTGTTTATGACTGGGCGGTCAGTGGACAGACGAGAGAGAGCGGATCCCGCTTCGAAGACCCCAATTTCTGCAAACTCGTCTGGCAAGGGGTCCGTCTCGGTCGATTAACTCGCAATCCAACTTGCAATTGCTGCAGTTTCGCCACAAACCGGGTGGCGGATTCGTGTAAATGTTTCGACATCGGAAAAGTATGTCCCCTGCACGAACCGTCCTTTGAAGATTACCCAATGTTGAATACACATGTTCAGTCGTGCAGCGATTGTAAGAACTCATTGGAACGACTCAGCAATCAGCAGACTTTCCAAGAATTCCCGACAAATGCTTGGAAACAAGACCCAGTGAGCAGTATGTGGTACAAGCCGAGAACCAGTTATGAGACTGTCGTTGCGGTCGGTGGGTGGAACGATAATTCTCCCACGGCAACTATGCAAATCTACAACCCGCAGGCGAACTCGTGGATCAAGATTGCCGGCGACGAACGATCGGCTCGGGCGTATCACGGACTAGTAGAACTTAATGGTCTTCTTTATTGTGTCGGAGGTTTTAATGGCACTGAAAGATTGAATACATTACTATGTCTGGACAATAAGACACTGCAATGGATTGAGAAAAGTCCGATGCATGAGAAGAGGTGTTATGTTAGTGTCGTGTCTCTGAAAGGGTTCATTTACGCCATAGGAGGCCATGACGGGACCACGAGACTAAAAACAGTGGAAAGGTTTATTTCGGGGCTACAAAATCTACCAGCGGCCTCAGCAATTATGGCTACATTTACAAATAATTGGCCACGCGCACCTCGATGAAATCATCAACTAATTAAATTTGATCACCGTTTTTAAGGAGTTGATAAATGTAGTTCAAACTCTTACATAGGTCGTAATGATTGTTTTCGTTTTTCTTTCAAAAAAAAACTTGAAACTTCTTCAGGCTCAAATTTACTTTTTCGCGGTTTGATTTCTGATTTTTTTTTTGAAGCTCACAGTATTTCCTTTGCTAAAAAGGAAGGCAAACTCCACTGTAAAAAGTGTAAAGGTCACAAAAAACGTGATCGACTTCTAGGCTCGAAAGTGAATTTCGAGATTTCCCAGCGGAATAAAAAATTTGTCTATTGATCCATTTGTCTCAAAGTGGGTCATTTTATCGAAAAAAGAGGTAAAAATAAGTTGCTGTAGAAGTTGCAAGAGCTTCAAGGGCATCTGTTTTTTTTCTTTGAAGTTCGAAAGTTGAAAAAACAGTCAGTTTTAATTTCAGTGTTTTTACACGTTTTTTTTTGTTCATTGCCTCCATTCCAACTGTCTGTTTGCTATGTTTTAATTTTTGCTGTATTTTTGACTAATTTGTGAAGCGCTCACGTAGAAAAATTGCCAGCGCCTGTAATACAAAACGAGAATAAAGCACAGTTTTTGTTCTGCCCAAAAATACACTTGATCAAAAAATCTGTTGAAGCTCGTTAACAAAAATGCAATAATGCAGAGATTAATTTTGTGAAAAATTTGCGGTACCAGAAAAAAAGTTCATTGCTTCCAAAACATTTTTGAATTTCTGAGAATTTTGGAATACTTAAATGACATATTTTTGAGATAGATTTAAGAAGTATAGAGTGTAGCCCCACTGAAAAGATATGAGGCCTGTTCGAACCAGTGGACTAGGATGCCGAGCATGAGTTTGGTGAGGAGCGACGCCTGTGCGACCACCAAGGACGGCAGAATATACGTGATCGGAGGATTCGACGGGGACAGTGTGCACAATGCAGTCGAAGTGTTCGACCCCGATGACCAGACATGGACATTCGCCGCATCTCTCTCATCCCCAAGGTCAACCAACACCACTTACACATAATAGTCACACAAGCACACACACACAACGCCCAAAAGCACAAATAGATGCTCTTTTTTTCAATTTCTTTTGTTTTCAATCAAATGTTGATGAGCTAATTTTACCGGTGCTAAATCCGGAAGAAATTAGAACATTAATCAGTTCAGTATATTATAAAAAATGGTTTGAGGGAGCAATTCATGAGCTAATGACGTCACTGCGTCTTTTAACATTCGCACATTTTGTAATAAAATAGGAACCGCCAGTTAACGTTGCTCCTCCTTATTTGAACACTGGATTAACATTTTCAGCTTTTTTCAAACCCAATTTTTTCTAGATCTGGCGTACGTGCTATTAGCTGCAAAGGAAAACTGTGTGTCATCGGGGGTTTTAATGGAGAGAGAAGACTGAAAACGATCGAGATTCTGGACGAACAAAAATGCGTGTGGGAACTACAAGATGGTTGCATGTCCGTCGCCAGGAGCAACTTCGGAATCGAAGTGTTCGGAAAGTACGTTGCCGTGTTCGGAGGTTACGACGACGAGCGACGTCAGACAACTGCGGCGTGTGAGGTGTTCTGCTTTGCCGAAGGAGCGTGGTTCCCGATTGCGCCGATGCCGATCACGGCTGGCTGCAGTGCATTAGCAGTTGTCACGATCAAAAAGATGAATGCTCATTTCGATTTCGTACCAAGAAGCTCGGCAGAATCTGAAAAATCGAGGTAGTAAAGAAGTGTTGAGTTAACAATGTTAGGAAACTACGTTTGAGTAGATTTGCCCGGGGAATGAATTAATAGCTGGATAAATAGATCTTTTTGCAAACAAAACTGTAATATCTAAGAGCTATATCATCTTCACAATCTTTTCACTCAAAGGCGGAGCAGCTCTTCAAATTATTTTGTTATAGGAAAAAGGTATCTAGAAAGCAGTTATAAAGTCTTAGTTATAAAGTTTTTCATAAAGTTCTAAGTGTTTTAATGAGATTTCAGAAATTCTACATCGCAATGGTATATCACTGTCTATCATTGGCTCTTTTCGAGTCCCCCTCTGATTTGAATTTTGTATTTCCGAAGTATTTCAAATGACATTTAAGAGTCATGAACGTAGTGAGTACTTTATATAGGCCTTGGTAATTTTTGATAGTTTTTTTCTTCAGGAAATAGTCTTCACATTTTTGCGGTTTGACTTTTGATTTCTTCTTGAGTTCACTTCATTTCCTTTGTTAAAAAGAAGGCAAACTCCACTATCGAACAACGAAAGTGGAAAGGTCACGAAAAAAGACGTTTTTAGATTTCCAATAGGAATAAAATTTTTACTTAATGATCCAGTTTCCTAAACTTGATTTAATTTGTTCGAAAACGTGTCATCTTAAATTGTTCTTGAATTTCAAAGAGCTTCAGTTCCATGTAAATTTTTCTGTTAATTGTAAATCGATACAACAGTTCATAAAAACAAGTTTCCGTATGACTCATTTTGCAACAATCCTTTTTTGCTATTAATTGAGGGGAATTGGAAATAAGAAAAAAAATCTATCATTTCAGATAATTTTTTTTTAAGTTTGAAAATCAAACGAAAGTCTAGGTTGCCTTTTTTGTTGTTCTGACCAATGAAAGAGTTGAGGAAATTTGGATTTGGGTGTTTTTTTCTTCTTTTTTACTTTCCATGCAAAAATCAAGAACCTCAATCAATCTTCAGAAAATGATTGAAAAAAAGATCCGACGTGATTTGATTCGTATTCAATTTTGATTTTAATTTTCATTCTTCTTATCGGAAATATAATTCACTCAATAATTCAGATTAACCAAAATGGGATTTTTTGTCTCAGTATGGCCATTCTCAATTTCATCTTGAAATTTAAACAGCTTTAGGACTATGTATCTTGTTTTTTTTGAGGTTCGGTAATTGTTATTTTATCAGAAAACAAGTTTTTATGTTTTGTTTCTTCGCAGTCATTGAATGTTCTCCAGCTGTCTGTTGGCTATGATCACCCTTGCGATTAACAAGGGTCTTTCAATTAAATTTTTTTTGGAGTTGAGTATATGAAGTTTTTTCAAAAAACAAGAAATTATTTTTTTTGCTGTTTCTTTGCTATCATTTCAATCGGGTACTGGAGCTTTTTCCCTAAATTAACTTTGCTTTCAGGACATATCTCCTGAAATAAAATGTGCGTGACACGACTCATCTTTGTAAAAAACTTCACTTCCACAGACTTGTTTGACACATATTATCATTTTAAATGTTGTCCGATTCGTAATTTGCTTTTACGTTGATAGTTTTACCAACTAACTCGATATGTTAATGTTTTTTGCTATTTCTGTATCTTTTTTGGCAAGTAAATAGATTTTGGCTAATACTGAAGCGGTTTTCTGGCCTCAAACTGCCTGGTTTGATGAGCAAAAAAATGCTGCGTGCGTGTTTGAGGGGGAGGGGAAAAATTTTGAAGTGTTTTTGAAATCTTTTCGGCTTAAAGGATTCCTGCTCTGGTATTTTCGGCTTTGCTATCGCTTGATTAATTTTCATCCGTTTCTTTTTTTTCACATTCCATTTTTTTGAGATAATTTTTCATTTATTTGCATAGATCTTAATTTTTCGATATTTTTAAAAAAAATGTACTATCAGTTTTCTTGTATTGTATCGCAAGTGGTACTCGTGTCTCTTTGCCTCTGTATTATAATTATTACTGGCACCGTCCATTCTTTAGTTCTGTTGGTTTATAAATTAACTTAGAAACTACAGTTATTTTATTGTTATTCTACATTATTTTTCTACCGCAAAATGAAAAATGAAAGAACTTTGGATTTGGGTGTTTTTTTTTACTTTTTCGTGGCAACTTCAGGCAATTATAGTGATTTATTGATACAGAAACAGCTGAAACTTACGAAAAACATTAGTAAAATAGTGATTTTAACAGGTTTAGCTTTCAATTTTTTTTGTCAAATAGTCTTAGCGAATATAGTGAATATCTCGAGCGTTGAATCAAGCTAATAACTGGCAAAAAATGCGAACTCAACGACAATTAAAAACGCATTTAGCAGCCTTTTAATGAAATTTATGCTCAGAAAAAGGGCAAAAATTGGAGCAAAATTCAGTTTGAGGTTCAATTAAGTAAAAAAAATGGTCCGTTTTTAAGTCTCATAACAATTTAAAGCATTTCCTATAAAAAGTTTTCCAGTTATATAATACAAATTTTCATTTCATTTATCAAAACTTAGGGGGTATGACCGAAAAGACCCGCGTATTCGACGCAATTTGAAAGTCAGAATATCCACGAGATTGAAAAATAGTTGAAAACATTTTTCTTTTAAAAGCACTAAGTTTAATTGACTCTAGTTTCATTTGGATAAAAAATCATTGAGAGATCCCGGGTCGAGGTCCGCTACTAATTTTTTCGACTTTGTTGGTCCCGAAAACGTTATTTCCGCGACCGAAAACCTATAGTCTGCACAGGGTTTTAAGTCGCGGACAAACTCGGGAAATACCGTATCTCGGTCGCGATGGTCAAAAAATTAGTCGCGGCGGTCGAAAAATTAATCGCGGCGGTCGAAAAATTAATCGCGGTGGTCGAAAATTAGTCGCGGCATGGTCGAAAAATTAGTCACGGCGGTTAAAAAATTGGTCTCGGTGTTCAAAAAATTAGTCGCGGCGGTCGAAAAGTTAGTCACCGCCGCGACTAATTTTTTGACCACCACGGCCAATTTTTTGACCCTGCCGGGGCTATTTATTTTTGACCACCGCGACTAATTTTTCGACCAAGCTGCGACTAGTTTTTCGACCGTCGCGACTAATTTTTCGACCACCGCGACTAATTTTCGACTGCCGCGACTAATTTTTTGACCATGCTGCGACTTATTTTTCGACCATCGCGACTAATTTTTTGACCACCGCAACTATTTTTCGACTACCGCGACTAAAATTTGGTCGCGACCGTCTGATCACAAAACCACAACCTCGACCGACCCGGGATATTACACAAAAAGCATGCATGACAACGTTTAACAGACAGTCGAAACGCAAAGTGAACACATCGACTCGAAAGAACTTCAACTAAACATTTTTCCGAAATGGACTATCTCAATTGGTTGGTTGTGTACAGGAAAGTAATTGATTGAAAAAAAACCCACAAAAAACAACAAAAACTGGTGATATATTACAATAGGTTTTAGGTTCAAATTGAATAGCTCGATCGCTTTTTGTTATACTTCGCACATCATTTATAATTATTTCAAAAGCCAAGTTTTTTTTCAAAAAGAAGTGTAAAACTTAAAAGTAAATAGTAGCATTTCATCTGGCAGAATATAGTATTTACAAAAACTGCAATATAAATTTTAGTAGTAGTAGTATAATTGACTGAAAATGAAATGACTATATTAAGCATCATAGTTCTCAAATTTAATACATGCACTACACTCAAAATTACCACCTATTGTAACATATCAAGGCCCCGCCCCCTACGCAGTATGTATAACACAAAAAGATTTTTTCGATTCTGGTAACTCATTAATAACAGCAAATTGCAAGCAGCTTACGCTTTAATAGCATTAAATATATCGCTGGTTAATGATACCAAATTGACAACTTTCAAACCCCCATAATTTTTTGAAAAATGACCATTAGTAAAAAATCAGTTTGATTTTGAGCTCAAGACAGCAGTAACATTCAGATGATATCAAAACCTTCCGTCAAAATTAGTTAGCTGAAAAGTCGAAGATTGTGCGGAGAAACACCTCCCCCCTAAACCCCCCCCCCCCCCCCCCTCCAGAGCACAAATATTCTTCACAAGTCGGAACTATTAAATGCCGTAAGTCGGAACAATTAAATGACGGGGTGGAAGATGTTAATTTTGTCTATTTTGATCCAAAAAGACGCCTCTGAAACATTTATGTTCACAGTTTCGAAATGGACTTAATTTTTGCAGAACTAAATCATTGATCAACAAGTTTATTGCAAGCATTGATTCATCGTACTCTAGGTCCTATTTGTCAGACTTGAGTCTCAGATATTTACAAACATTCAAGTGGGTTTCTGATTTATCCATAACTTCAAAAATATGCTATTGCGTTTCTAAATCTGAACTTCGACGATAACTATTTTCTTGCAACACATCAATCATTGACCTTCAAGTTTGTTAACGAGTAGCCGAATCGGAAAAAATCCAATCTACACTCCTAACTATCTTCTAAGTAAGAGTCTGAATTAAAATTTGTTTCTGAAGAATCCGGTAAAACTTCTGAGAGTCAACCCAACTTGTCACGCATTTCTGCGCAACTTAATTAAAATTGCTCTTTACTTGAAATAATTGTTTCCAAAGTGCTTAACGCAGTCTAAAGGAGTACCGAAGTTTTTGCGACGAGAGCATATTGACTCGAAAAGATTTGAATTAATCATGTTTCACGAACAACGATAACGACAATGCAGAAAGTAACAGTACTCACAAGTTTTAGTTTTAGCATACTCGATACAGCTAGTTTTAAACAGTTTCCCTAGTGTCACAAAAATGCCAGGGGATAAATTGCCATTGAAGTTGACTATTCTACGCTGCTTTTTGGAGACCATTATTACCCGGGGGATGAAGCTTACATCATCCTGTTTTATGAAGATGATTATGACAAGGTTTACGTCACTCTGAAGCACACACACGTACGCATAAAATCTGTTTTCGCCTTTCAAAAACGCAATATGAGGCCACCGAGTCGATATAAAGTAAATGTTCCAGCCAAAAAAAATCTTTCAGCAAAAAAAGAACGAGCAGAGCTGCAGAGACTATCCAAAATCGACTTTTGCAAAAATAAACCCAGCATAGCACAGTTTGAGAGACAGAGAAAACTCTCCAATTCTTTTCAATCCGTATAAATCAGTTAAAATTTGTGTTTGTAGGGGGGCGTGTAGCTCCCGCGCTTATTAAAGTTTTATAAGCTGAACCATTTATTGACAATGCAATTTCGTAGAATGAGACACCTCGAGGTATATAACTCAATTTTAACTCAATATGAAACGATTTAGCCTAAGTGGCTATCCCTTCGCCAGAGAGATCTGAACTGGACATGATCTTCTCTGATGACAAGAACACTCTTCAAAATCAGTTGTCCTACTCAAACTAATTGATAGTAATTAAATTTCCAGATTTAATAGGGAAAACACCATATTCACTTCAAAGAAAGAAAGAAAGATTTGATTTATCCAACAGTGCTAACTAAATAGGCAATTTAGTTACAAAATCAACTCATAACATAATTCATTTGAAAAAGTGAAAAGTCCCAATGAAAAGGACAGACAAAACCACTCATTGTGCCCATTAGACGTCTACCCTACCTCTCGAACCCCTCAGACCTCTTCGACTAGTGATGTCCAAATCAATACGCTGACGCCCTTTTAAACTAAATCGAGCCAAAAAGTTCATTTACGTTTGGCAATTTTTTCCCAGAGGAGTGATAAAAACACTGCTCGCTGTCAAAACTCCCCGATTTTGCAACTAAATTGGACATTAATATTTAATACTTCAGAATTATGTTGAAAATCTAACACAGAAAACATTTTTTAAAAAAAAAGGAAATAAAACCAGTCACATTTCTACAGGAACCCCGATTGACAAAAAGTCTCTGCCGCTAGAAAATCTATTTTGATACTCCCCTCTATATCCCACAATCTAAAAAAATATCGGATTAGTTTCAGCTGCAAAATTTTGGAGCTTATTGAGCTATTACATTAGTGTTAGAGCGTTTCCATGTCGCTTCTTATACAAGCCGAAAGTTATTTAGGCATTATACGTCATTCATCATCTCCGCATCGTAGTTAAATTTGCTAGCGCCAAAAACATTTCGCGGATCGTACTCTGAACTCCTTAATTATAGGGACCCCCGCAATGAAAAAAAAACTCCCGGTAATAAAGTACAGCAGAGTACATCCTTTTCTTTTGCAAAGGAAAATTTCGTTCAAGCGTTTACTACAGCAGATAAAACTAAATTTACAATTGCCTGAAATTCGAGGATTGCATCACTATAAAAATAATTTTCTCCCCTTAGCTCCCGAGATTTCACGGAGCTTCAATAACACCATTTTTCATATTATATCAAAATATTTCAAAGAGACTAATGAGTTTGGAAATTTGAAGTCAGTCAAGCACCTTTTCAGTCATTGAACTTATTCACCAAGGGATGATTTCATTTTTGAAGTCCCTGAACGTCGCTTGGTCTTGCTCAGTAAAACTGTCCATACATTTCATCATTCCAGATACACTTTCCAGAGTTGTAGTATTCCCAGCAACACCCATGTCCGTCTTCACGTGACCAGGGTGCAAAAGTGCTATCAGTATCCCCTTGGAACCAAATTCAATTGATAAATTCTTGGAAACCATGTTGAGGGCTACTTTACTAGCACGGTAAGGGTAGATGCCACCCTTTGCATTGTCAGCTATTGAAGCTACTTTGGTGGAAATATTAATGATGGCCGCGCGTGAACAACTGACCGGTGTATCTTTGCAATCTTCGGCTGCCTTTTCGAGGAGCGGCATGAGAGCTTTCGCACACAGCAGGGGTCCAATGCAATTTGTATTGTAATCGTTCATCATCATTTCGGCGGTCACTGCAAAATATAAACAGTTTAAATTCCTAATTTCGATAATTAATTCATCTAGATGGCTAAAATAATTTCTGACGCTTGAAAATGATCAAAATACGAATGTCACTGATGCTCACACGTACAACTCACAAGCATCGGCCAGCTTTATTCATGTTTTAAAGCATTAAAACTGCAGACAATTTTGATCATTTTATTTCGACAATACTCTTTAATATCCACTGATTTCCGGAAAAGAAAACATTTAAACGTTTACAAGTGCTTCAATTGCACACGAAGCAATCCATTTGAAACCATTAGTCAGATTGCATGTTAGCCATGCTTAATATTCAGTTAAAACAACTGTCAGATGATTAATATTCAGTTTCTGTTTGCGACTAACCATCATTTAGAGCGGATATTCTGGTGAGCACTCCAGCATTGTTAACCAGTAAATTAAGTCCTTGGTCTTTCAAAATATCAGAAACAGATTTGGCCAATTCATCGTGATCCGCATGCTTTGATACATCGTATTTCAAAATGTGAATATTGGAATTCGTTTTCTGCAGTTCCTGGAGATCCGAAGCGGCATCTGGATTCCTGCATGTTGCAAATAAATATGTTGGCTTCAGAGGTAGAAACTGCTTCACGAATTCCAACCCGATGCCTCTATTAGCTCCCGTGATCAGCACTGATTTTGGATTCATTTTCAAGTTCAATTCTGAAACCAAGTCCACAGTGCTTCAAAATGAATTGACCAAAAACAAGTTTGCAACCAAGAGTTAAATACGCTGAAAGAAATACGACTAGTTTTTCAGGCACGAAATCTCCAATAGTTTACTAATTAAAAAAAGAGCCACCACTCATGAAAGTCAAAATGGATTTTTGTTCGAGTACCAACGAATGAAACCTAAGCAGAAGAGGGAGGAGCCTTAAAGTTTTAAATTCCCAGTATATACTTGACATCGCTTCCGATGTTTAAAAAAGTCGATCATTTTTTCACATTTTTAACTTTAGGGGGAAGGAGGTCAAATTGTTTCGAAGTTCGAGTGGTCAGAGATATGCAACTTTAATCCAAATTAAATAAGTGGTTGGGGTATTTTTTTTGATATCAATTCAGGTAATAGTCTTTGAGGCTCAGAAACCATTAAGTTTAACACAGAATTAAAATTTGAAGTTTCCAAATAAAGAATTTCGCTTTGAGGATATAATTTACAATATTTACAGGAATTAATGAACCGCAGTAGAACATAAAACAATTCGAGTAATTTTTGAATCAAAGATATAATTCTTTGTTTTTGTTGGCTATTTTCGTCAGCTTGTCTCGTACACGGTTCACCACGGAATCATTTTGTTGTTGAAATCTCTAAAGGTGGCCTGGTCTTTCTCAGTCATTATTTCCAGGCACTTCATCATTCCAGCGACACTATCTTCAGTCTTAGTGATAGCTCTGCTAGTTCCCATGTCAGTTTGGACCCAGCCAGGGTGCAGAATAGCAACCAATATCCCTTTGGGTCCGAACTCAATAGACAAATTCTTGGACACCATATTCTGTGCCACTTTGCTGGCACGGTAAGGATACAAGCCGCCCATTCCGTTGTCAGCAATTGAGGCTACTTTGGTTGATATGTTGATGATAGCTGAACGTGAACAGCCAACTGGCATGTCTTTGTTGTCTTCGGCTGCTTTTTCCAAAAGAGGCATAAGTGCTTTGGTGCTTAGAAGAGGTCCGATGCAGTTCGTCATATATTCGCTCATCATAATTTCAGACGAAACTAAAACATCAGATTCAATATTCCAAACCAATCTTCTCAAGCCAAGCTATTTTTTCTTTCTGTAGGTTTGGCTTGCAGTTCGGAAAACGCCTTAATAACCGCCTTTTATTACAGAATGACAGATTATTGAGAATGAACGGCCTTTTTTATTCTATAGTGATCGCAGACATTCATGATCTAATGAAACATTTCATTTAAACTTCGATAAAGACTTAACAGAAAGGCGAATCGCAGCGATATATCACAAACGGTGTTTTTCTCCACGCATATTTCACCCTACTTTTTCACCCTTTATATTATCAACCCATAAGAAAAACCCCAAAACCCTCCAGCGCGCACGCACATACAAAGACACACTCACGCACATGCACACACACACACACACAAACGCACGCACGTTATATAAGTCCAGATAGGTCAATCTTACTTCGTGATGCTTTCAGTTCCACAAAAAAAAAATACTTGCTATCAGGCCAGGTGAGTTAGGACCGAAGTGTAACTCATAGAGTAATTTCGGATAGGGTACACCGTCTGCTCGTCACGCTATCTTATTTTCGGCCGGATAGATTCGTGCAACTTCTTAGTCTAATACCGATCCTAATCTTACTCTTATACTATCTAGTCTCAGGTTGTTTAACTAGTCTCTGCTAGGCTCAATAGATCTAGGGTATACTGGTTTATTGCGGCTGCTGAAGTGCTCGGGAGAGTCCAACTAATTTCTAAGTTAAATTCAAATCTCTCTGGTGCTGAAATTACAAGTAACTTCAGCACTTACAAATAAGTGGGTTGTTAGTTAGATGGATCATGATTGGTTAATATTAAATACTTTACATTGGTAAAACATTTAACTTATCCAATCATAATATGTAGTTTAGATCAGGTTCCACCCATCCGGGTTTTACAGAGTTTTTTAGAATAGTTCTTCTGCAATTCGAAGGATGGATGATGGACGTTTGTTTTTGGCGAACATCTTATTTCTTCTGTTTTCTTTTTGTTAAAGAAGTTTCAGGAAGATGGAGTTAGGGACATAAGACGTTGTGTCTTCTAGTGACAACGACTAAGTCTTTGCAACAAACTCAAATCTGATTTCAGAATGGTTTGCTATGTCAGGTTTTTCTGTTCTGCGTGGAGAACTTCTTTTGTGTATGATCTAGTTTGGGAATGGCGTGGAGATTGTGCGTGGAGGGGATGCCTGGTTACTCGGATCTGTACGTATACTTGAACATCGAGGTGGTCATTGGTCTAGTTCAATGAAGTCCTTTTCTGCGAGGTCAAGTCGTACTCTAAATCCTTTGAGTTGTGATTGTGAGCGGCATATCGATTGTAGTTGGTCATTCTCTCTCGAGTGTAGTGGGGTCGTCTTGTCTTTTGATGTTCGTCCTTGGTGTTGTATTCTGATCTATATATTGCATCATGTGATTTTACATTTTATAAAACTTTTATTAGTTTAATATTTTTTAATAATGATTTTAGTTAGTTGTTTTCACAAAAGCTTTTTGTTTTAGTTCGGTTATTTTGAAGAGTTACTCACACTTGAGTAGCTCTTATTAAAAATAGTGGTGTGGTCACAAAGCGTGGATGTAGCACGGTGGGTTAGGCCGGCTATAGAGCATGCTCAGGACGTCCTTCCTGGTGGGTTAGGCCAGGAGTGGGAGTATGATTTCATGCGGTTTTTGTGAGGGGTCCTGTTATGTGACAACGTTTTATGTTGGGTTTGTTGTGGTCTTACTTATGTTTTGTTGGTTGTGTCCTTTTTTCAAAAATCAAATTGTTTGTGGTATGGGTTTGTCTTTCGACTTTTTTGTGTTTTATTATTTCTTTCTTAGACTTTATAATAGTCTTCAAAAGAATAAATTATCCAGTTTTAAACTGGGTTAATCCGGTTTGGGTACCGTTGGTTTCCTTTTCTTAGTCATGCTGTTATTCTATGATTTGTGGTATTTAGTAAGCTGCGTTGGTTAGTTTTGTTTAGTATATGATTCCTTTCCAACCGGGTTAAAGGAAAGTTTGAAACATGTTATTATATGTTAGAGTTGTTGAGTGTGAAAACTTGAAACTGAAATTCATTATTTTAAACAATTCTTCGTGGGCGAGCTGTGCGAGTGTGGATAGAATTTCTGTGCGAATGAATGAAAATATCAAAAGGTTAGTACTGCATTTGCATTTATTTAATTTACTACATAGAATTTAGAAATTTACTGCTAGTCATGGGGGAATATTAAGATACAAATTTTCATCATAATTAGATTTACTGCTTGTGGGGGAAAATTTTAGAAATGAATTTACGGCATTGGTATTAAATTTATAAATTTATAAGTGTAAGAGATTAATAGAATTTTTGAAATCTGTTTGATGAAATTTGCGATTTTTATTTGTCTTTTGTGGTTTTTGTAGGTGATCGTCGGATGAAGGCTAAAAATCTAAAGAAAACATGAATAAAGTATGGTGAGTTTTTTAATATTTTAATTAGTTAGTTATATTCATTTAATTCATACTTACCTGTTAGTCGTCGGGGAAAAAACCGTGGGGGAAGATGTCGTGAATTAGTTCTGAAGTCGTTAGTAGTTTAGCTAAGATGCGGATGATATTTTTAGTCTGAAGCAGTGGCCAAAGCAATTGAAGTGCCTTAATAGTGGTTAGTTCTTCAGTGCCAACTGCAAACTCATAAGGTGTGTTTTGGATTAGATTATATAATTTGTGATTGAATTTAGTGTTGTGGATGAATTCTAAAATTGGGATTTCTATGGGTTGTACAAACTCGTGCGGGATAAGGAAGGGTCGGGATTCTTCGGCGTTGAAGGTCTTGGTAATGGGACAGAAGATGTACATTTGGGTTATGGGGTCATAATTACGAAGAATACCATGGAGGTTAGTGTCTTTAATACAATATGTGAAATTTAGAAAAAATGGTGAAGTGTATTTGGAATTAATGAATTGAAAACGATGGTGTGGTTGTCTAGAGGGTGTGTGTAGGTCAAAGTGATTTTGGATGAAGCGATAATAACTATATGTGTGGGTTTGTTTAGTGCGCAACATAATATCGTGTGAGCAGTGTAAATCTCTTTCGTGTGGTGCAAGGAAATGAAAGGTTAGTGAAAATAGTTGGAAGCGTTCTTTAAAACTTTCGTATGCTTGTGTGTCTGTTAGTGCTTCTGAAATAATGTGATCAAACTTTCGGTCGAAGATGTTTAGTGTGAATGTATATGGTGTCTTGATGAAAAATTTCTCGGTAATTTGTGGATTAGCGAAGCGATCGTCGTCTAAGAATTGATCTTGGTTAGCTCTGATGATGTTGTGATCATAGTATTCGAGTGTATATTCGTTAGCTCTAGGTGCAGTGTGTGTTTTTAGTGATTTTTTATATCCAACGTAAGTAAATTGTCTAGGTGTTAGTGGTGTAGTGAGTCGATATAGCATGTCCGTATTTCGTTCTATATCGATGTGAGTGTTAGATAAAGGTAAGCAAAGAGGGTTAGTGAAATGATAATATGAGGTCCAAGAGAGAGTGGGCATTAAAACGTATTCATCTACGAAGTTGCGTGTTTCGTTAGTGTCGTGGGGGGTGTTTAAGGTGTATTGTGGGAATGAGGGTAAGGTGATGGCTAAAAATTCTTTTGTGTTAGTATGCTTGGGGTGGTTGATGTATTCACGGGCTGTTCCTGGTTTTGCTGGGAAAGGATGGTTGGGGAACTTTCTTTTAAAAGTGCGGTAAGCTCTATTAGTGTTGAGTGAAGATTCAGTTGATGTGGATGATGGTGCTAATGATTCAGTATAATTTGAAGAGGGTGTAGGGGTAGGGGGGTTGGATGAATTTATAGTGGAGGAGATTTGGTTTATGGTTGGGGTATTAAGGTGGTAGGGTTGTTGTTGAAGGGTAATAAAATTATCTAGCTCTGGGGAGATTCGGGGGGTGTCTGGAGAATGAGATGATTGGTCAGAATGGTATGAGGAGTAGGTTGGGGTAACTTGGGAAGCATAAGAGGGTGTGGGGGTGATTGGGTCAGGGTTATTGGATAATATGGGTTGAAAAGGGGGTTGAGAAAAATTAGAAGAGTAATGAAAATTATTGGATGGGGATGGTTCTGAGTCGGCAAATTCATCGGGGGTTTCAATATTCGGGTTATTGAGTTGTGAGATGGAATATAAAACTGAGATGTGTGAATTAGTGTCGGAATTCATGCCTGATGTTACATTACTAGATGGAAAATCGGGTGGCGGAAAAGCAAAAAGTGGTATTATTGGGATTGGAGAGGTAAGATTGGTTGGGTGGGAATTTGATCGGTGTAGTGATCCAAGTTGGCGGCTCATCGTGGGCTAAAAAAATGATTATTTTGAGACTGAAAAGCGGTGGTATGGGGTTGTTCAATAATTTGTTCATAAGTATTATCATCTTGTGACTGGTGTGTCATTATATGTTGAATGGGACTTTGTGATGTGGTGAGTCGAAAATTTGGATTATGTGTGATGGCTAAGTTTCGAAAATTTCGTGGGACTAGGGATAGTGGATGGTTATTTGGTAGGGGTGGTAATTGTGGTGCCGTTGGCGTTATGTCTACATTGTTATGTTCTTCGTCGTATGTATTTTGTCGTGTTGTTATTTTTGTGTTATATTCTTTTATTTGTGCGTCTAAAAGAATTTTGTTTATAGATGTAGAAAAGATTCCAAAAAATCCTGCAAATAGTATGCGTGCTACACTTGCTTGTCTGTTTACTTGTGTGTGTATAGCACATGTGTTGTAGATTCCTTTTAAAAGTGAGAAAAGAAATCCAATAAAGTTAAACATTGCGTATAAAATAGTCAATTTTTCTAAGATGTAGTAGGGCCATCCTAGAAAATCGAGGATCTCATTTTTGAGTGTAACAAAGCTAAAAATGTTAATTGGTGATATATCTTGGGGACGGTATTTTTCACCGTTTAGATATATATAATCTTTAATGTCTTTAAAATATCCGCTATAGTCTTGCGTGTAGATATCGGCAAATCCTGCGGTTTCTGCAAG